AAGTAATGGGTGGCCCTGAAAAGGCCCGTTGAGTGTTTTGTTTCAAATAAACTCAAGAACGAGAAGCAATTCGCTTTAACTGCCTTAAACCTTTGCCACGGCCAAGGCCAACTTGTGGACTTGCTCTTGTCAATGATTAAATAGAAACCACTAATGGTGGTATCTCTGGTGTAGTCACAGGGTTAGGCTGCTTGGCTCGGGAAGGTATTTTTCTCTTGGGTCGTAATAAAGAAGTCTGATACATTTCTTTCAGACTTCTTAACTCTAAAATATCCAAGAGTATCGTGACCGTTTGACTTTCACTGTTCTCCTTCTCTCCTGGACTTGATTTCTTTTCTACTGCTTCTTCTTCTTCTTCTTCCTGTCGTTTCCTTATCGCCTCTTCTTCTCGCTGTTGCTGTTCAAGGAGAAATGCTTCTTCTGCCTCTTTCTGTTGCTGTAAAAATTCCTCTAATTCTTTTTGTCTTTGTCTAAAATCGTCGACGCGTGGTAAAGAAGGAGAAATTGGTGAAGGAACTGGTGCCGGTACAAATTCTTGCGAAGAGAGAAAATCTACTAAATCCCAGTTGAAATCAACCTCTTAGGGAAGTGGTACTGTGTTTACTTTAGTAGCTGCTGCTATGCCATCGCTTTTCGTCTCCGCAGCCGGTGCACCCCAAGTCATTATCTTCTTAGGTTCCCTCATGTTCGACCCAACAATGTCGCATCAATTTTTTGCGCACAAAACGCTGGTGAACGTATATAGGGAATATGACGTCACAGGGAGCTCTCTTCGGATTGGAAAACAAATTCCACGAAGTGACCTAATTTTGTAACACATATTGGGATTGGTCAACCATTTTAATCCGTTTCGATCTACTCTTCCACGCGGTTCACTTTATTCCCTTCACCTGTTCTCGTCACAAAAAAGAAATGTGGACCAACGTAGAATCATGTACCCTCGTATCTTCGATGCTGTTTAACCCGGACTATCCCATGTATGTTAGATCATCATGGGCCATTACCCAGATCACTGATACAGCCTTTTGGAAAAGAAGACTCTATGTAGAAAGACAAGGGTGTCTAAAGAGAGTCCTCATTTACGGACCAAAACTGAGACGAAGTTTGAGAAAAAGAAGACAATCAATGAGATGCCCTGCATGTTAACGAGGTGGTGTTAACATCATAAACAAAGGCCCTTTTCAGGGCCACTTTACATGCCTCGAAAAGATTATACTTTTTAAAATATTGCCTGTAAAAGTTATAAAACATACGTCCAACTACATTCACCAACACGACAAACATTTGATGTCACAGTACTTGACATCACATTACTGGTACATTGCTACAGTGTTGACAAGTGTCCTGCACCGTGACGTCATGCCACCTGTGCCATTCCTCTTGTCCCTATACAGTGCCAGGGTGTGCTAATACAAGATTCCCCATTGTCCCCAAAGTATCCCAGCCAGGATGGGCCATTTGTCCCCAAAAATCCTGTCCCCAAACGTATCCCAGGGGTGTTTTTAATGATTACTTCTAAAAATGAAATTAAGGTATGACAGAAATACACAGGAAAGGAGTTGTCGGCCTTGTGATGATATTATGGCTCTCAAATCTATACTTGAAGATCCTCTTCCAGCTGATTTTTATGGTCCTTATAGAATTTAAATGAAACTAAATGACTTCAGTTATATCATTAGCACTCCAGAGAGGAGGAAACAGAAACAACTTTGTCATATAAATAAGTTAGGTGAGTGACTATGTTGATACAGATGGCCAAGTTAATACTTCAATCATTTTAGCTGTACCTATTCATACAGTGAGGATGTAATTGATAGAATGCGATCGGAAAATAGTTACTATGAGTTAAACAATCTTCGGGATTCGGAAATATTAAACATTCCGGACCAGAAACGTTTACATCCACGACAGCAGGAAAGTAGTGAGCGAAAACAGCTATTATATGAATGTGAGCACATGTTTCCTGTTTTTCGTACACAATAAAATAAATAATAATTCAAACATGAATTTTTTGAAAATAACAATTCAGTATCTGCTGGAGAATGATTTTGTAGACCCAAGAAAAATTAACTGAAGTTCGATATGTTTTATTGTGCCTAAACCAGATAGTAAATTCCGCATATGTACTGAATACCCGAAAGTCAACAGTGTCACGAAAATGGATTAATCTCCAACGCAAAGACTAAACGATTGCATCGACAAAACTGGAAATTGGGATACAGTCCACAATGTCTGTGAATGACAATTCCAATCTAATTATAAACAAGACTTAGCCTAAAACGTTTTGAACTCAGATAATATGTAAACATTGTATTTTCAACTTACGATCATGGACAATATATTCTGTTTACAACTTAGAATCATAAACAAAATGTAGCTAAATAATATAAATATCCATAACAACTCCAGTCGTATAGAAAAAGACAGACTGGCACAATAGCCTTTCTTTTTACAGAGAAGCAAATAATACTGTCAAAATCAAACTTAAATACGAAGATATAATATGAATGACGCTCAGCCTAATTACACAAAATGCACATATAATAATGCAAAACAGTACTTCTATAAATGCGAGGGTATCTGTAATCCTGTTATTTTCCACTAGACATGCCCAATCTCAGCGTTGCATTCTTGCAACATTAGACTCCACTTCAACAACCTTATATGTTTGTTTTTTATTTTGTTAATGAAAATTACCTTGTTTATATCAGGATACTCAAGGTTATTGGAATACTTTCGAAACATTTTATATTTTGGGACTTGGGATTTAGTTCAGATACAGTAATGTCTCTTGAATTTTTACTTTGTATTTAAGAGAAAAAAAATGCATGTTAATTTTTACTTCAGAATTGTTGGTTTCCTTTTTTCTGTTACATAATTTAAGACGTAGTGTAGTAACTATATCCACTCACAAACACACACACACACAGACACACAAACACAAAGACACTGTAAATAAGCGAGCTTTTATAATAACTACTCTGTCTATTGTCACAGATCTAGCTCAGTGTGATTACTATTGCATTTCAATGCTAATGCTATAAGCGAATACTCATTTTAAGAAAGCAAAAAATGTAACAATTGTTTCAGATGAAATCAAATTAGTCATGCAGGTCAGATATTCCTCAAATTTCGTCCAGAAAAAGGAAAATTCAATGCATTTCTGTCTGCATATGAATGTAGGTGTATGTGTGTGACAATTAGTATGTTAAAACGGACAGAGCAAATATATTGCACGCTGAAGCATTTTGCAAGGACTGAAGCAGGACCGGAACGTGTGCAGTCTTTAAAAAAAATACGATAAAATTAGTTTCACTGATGTATAATTCTAGATTGAGTCGAATTAGGTGAAGAAAGTTCCAAATTTTGGTATTTTACATTGGAAAGGTTTAAACTCACGTAGATAACATACGTGCCAAAACGTTAATATTGTGAAAAATGTGGAGCGTGATATGTATGTATATCGACTTCTTTCTTGTCAGACAAAAGTTTTGTATTTTTTTAAAATTTAAATGTGAATTCGCTGAGACGCTTTCGAGATAATATTTATTCTGTGAAAATCTTGTATTTTGTAAAGAATGCGGTTCATTTGTATCACAGACCTTTATCATGTATTTCAAGGATTTAATGTTTTACCTTTATCTTTTAGTTGGCCCACTTTTGACCCTCACTACGCTTATCATGATCCCTGTATATCTCCTCTCCCTACTTTTCTAATGTTTGTGTAAACCAGTTGTTACGTGTGTTAAGGAAAAAAATTCTGTATAAATCTTTCATTTTTAAAATCATAAAATTTAGTTGTTATTATTATTATTATTATTATTATTATTATTATTATTATTATTATTATTATTATTATTATTATTATTATTATTATTATTATTATTATGTTAACATGGATCTAATAATTTGTTAGAAACATCGTGCTTATTTAAATTGTAAATGGGGCCCTGAGTGGCCGAGTGGTCTAAAGCGCTGTCCGTTACGGATCACTGCCATCTCACCTCTGTCTGCGGGTCCGAGTTTGGGATTCGGCGAATGTGGATATGTGAGACAGCTTACCAGTAGCTTCTTGTGGGTCAGTGGTTCTTTCCGGTGATTTCCAGGTCTCTTCCTCCAACATTAATACTGATCGACATGTATTGTGAGCTGAAAAATGACGTTAAACCTCACAACAGCAACAACAACAATAAATTGTAAATATGACTCGTGTAAGCACGATCTTTGCATGGTCCTATCAGTGATAATCCAAAATATTTTCCATCAGAATTAAAGAACAATATAACAGGAATCAATATTGATTATGTGATTATTGGAGGTTATTCAAACACGGTCAGCAGCAAGAAAAATATAACAGACTTAATTAAGCATCATGTGATTATTGGAGGTTATTTAAACATAGCCATCAGTAGCGTGTTAACGGGGGAGGGGAGAAAAGACGGGGCGGTTGGTCTTAGGGCGCCAAAACAACTGATACCAGGGCTGTTAGTGCACCAACACTCCCTTGAAATTTCATTGACACCCACCTCGGTGGTCATTTATCCTTAGTACGTCATTTTAGCCATGGCTCTTGAATTCATACATTGGTATACCATTGTTCTCGTGGCACTCAGCAAGAAATTAATCGCAAATGAAAGACAGTAATTTACCTGCTAATGAAAGTTGATACACTTGTTTATTTATCATTTATCTCCATTCGCTTGATCCGGAAATATTGTAAGGTATATTAATTTTGCAATAAATAATGTCCGATTAAAAATGCTGCATTTTCCTAAATATAAAATGAGATTTTTGTATTCTGGCGACAAATGATGTAATCGATGTACGGTGTGGGGTGAGGTGCAAAATAGGGTACGAAATAAACACAATTTTAGCAATATCGTACCACATCGTCGTGCATAGCCAAATATTTAAAATTAACACTTGCAGATATTAAATATTTATGGCGGTTATTAGTGTATTCAAACAAATTGATTACGGACTTTCTAGATGACCGCAACGATGTCCTTAGTGGTTAGAGCGTCCGCCTCGGATGTGGGATGTCGCGGGTTCGAATCCCGGCCGAGTAATAATAAAGACAAACAACAATGGTACTAGCAGCTGCCTCGCTTGGGTCTCAACATTAAGAGGCTAGTGTTAGACTGGTCGACATGATGTCAGGATACAGTTACTGGGTGGGACATGTCTGCACCCTTATGCCCCAATGGTAGACATCACTATAAACTGCCACACTGCAAACATCGTAGCGATATGACTGTAAATTGTAAAGGTACATTAAAACTACAAAACACAAGTACACACACACACACACACACTTTTTACAGGCAGTTGTTTTGTTTTCTATTTTCACACCTTTAGTTACCTCTTTATTAAATACAAATATTAAATATTTATTATATATTAATTACACATTTTCTCAGGTTACTGGTATAATGTCATTTACATATTTTTGGATTGCATTAAGTCCTACACAATTGCAACATTCCGGAGTTCGTCGAGGTGGTCTCAATACAACGACCACTCTATGCTTTTCATTCAGTTTTGGCAATGAACCATGTCAACAAGGTCAGTCATGTGATTATGCTTGAACGAATGCAAACATCATAAAGTCGATGACCTTATTCAACCACCAAGCTGGCCTTGATTCGCATTTCGGTATGAACTGTTAGAGACTTGTATTTGGATATAGGTCAAAAGGAAAATAGATCTCGGATACATTTTCTTTTGATTATTTATTTCCAGAAAATGAATTATTTAAAATAACGTGTTATTAGTTATGATCAAATACTTATATTTAATAGAACTAATGTTTATAAACGTCTGGCAGATAGTGCAAGTGCGATTGAGAATGGAAATAGTCAGTACCGCCAGATCACGAAACCCGCAACACTAAGAGAAACGACTAGTACTGTGTTTATAATACGCTAATTAATCCTTGGGAAAGAGAGGTGGTTCTTGATACATTTACAGAACATTATTGTATATTCATTTTGGTGAGAGATAGCTATTGAGACAGAAAAAATACTCCAGGAGAAAAAGTAACTCATTTAAGGACACACGGTACTAATGGTATGGAAAAATGGGAACCAGCCTGGATATATGTGCATATTTAATAGAGTATATATGGGTTTCGCTAGCCAGGATTGGTTAATAATGTAAGTTATGTTTAAGGAAAAATAATCTTTTGAGAGCTTATCCTAGTTGTAAGTGAAAAAAAAGTATTTTATTGATGAAATTCCAGTCCTTTAACAGTCTTGAGTTTGGAACACTCATTACTAAAATTAGCACGTTACTCTTTGGTGCAGGAATTGAAAGCATATGTTTCAAACACATGCAGATCCAGAAAATGGCGCGGCTCATATCCTTTCATCTACACAGGTTTCTCTATATTGATAAATATAGGTTTGATCATAGGGCACTCAGAAATTTTAAGTTCTTGAATTTTTAATATCATGATATTTGCGTAGGTTTACTATGGAAAATGAATTAGTATCGTGATTCTTTAAGCAAGCAAGGGGTTCGACTTTGCTCTTTTTTAAAATCCTTTAGCATTCTGGAAGAAACTGTCATAGAACCTGAATACAAAACAAAATGACCATTCCTTTGTGAAAATTACCTTGATATTGAGAAAAACTAATCAACACAAAACATTTTAGTATTCAATAACTCATTAGTGAGATTCAGGTTACGCTTTTGTTTGTGTCAAAGATACGAAATTTGACAATTAAATGAGACTAAACGGAGTACTTTTTTCTGTGCTATACAATGTAACCAGATGTCAAAGCTAAATGGGTTTAAACTAAGATTTTACTCAGAATTTCAGCAGCAAATAATCTTTAAAATAAAATTGGAAAGTTTCAAATAATTTGTGTCCATTGTAAAACAAAAAGCTCAGGAAGTTGTATCACATCTTTTTTTGTTTACAAAAACAACATGAATATTGACAAGAATAATTAAAAAAGTAAACAGTGATTGCCATGAACTATATAAAGTGTATGTCTCAGAGAATCAGTTTCTACCAGGCATTGTAGATAAAAGAAAAAGATGCTGGTGTGATACCGATTTTAGTTAGCATGTTACAAAAATTTATTTGTGGTGGATGTGATGGACGTAGGATGATACTGGTTGAATGAAAACGATAAATGTTCAAAGAAGTTTCATCTTCAGTGTATTAGAATGAAACACGTGTCTCACGAAACATGACTTTATGCCGAAAGTAAAAAAAAAAGTATTCTTGAAATGCTTTTAGAAATTTGAAATTATATATTAACGATTGGCTGTTTGACTTGAACGATAACCAAATGATTGATTTCAGCCCATGAAATTTTTAAAAATCGTTGACTATGTCTACTTGTTTTGTGTATCCATTTCTTAATTCATCTGTTTTTGGTGGATCTATTTGTTTATAAAAGAACGAAACAGATGGTTGACATTTCAGTGTTTTGCTAGAAGAAAAATTGGAAATGTCATGCATTTGGTCTCGCGCGGTTGACATGCACAACATAATGTAATGTATTAAGATATCCTTAACCACACAATCAAACGTGCCTTCGTGATTATGAGGAAATAACATTATTGTTTGGTGCGGGTTTGCGTAGCTCTGGAATCAAAATGGCGGATATGGAGTAAACACGTTTTGTGACATCAAGTGAAAACAATGGATTTCATACATATACTTACTTATAAATTATAACCGGTTAATCCAAGGCCTCAAGCACTGGCATCACAATATGCCCAGGGAAATAAAATCAACAATCGTGGTGCGAGATAGAGTTAGAAGGGGACAACGACAACCAGCAAAGGGGGATCCATCAGGAGCTTTCCTCTTCTGAAGCTGAAATTTCACCCTGGTGTAATTGGGAAATTTTCCCACAAAACTTGCATTTTGGAGGCAGATGTAGAGAGGTTGGCAACTGACATAAAACTGTCCTCTCCAGCAAAGTAGGGACACAACTAAAGAATATTACTTTCGGGCGTGTCGGACCCTTTTCGTGCCGACACTAAAACTCACCCAAAGTTTCCAATCCACTCAGATTACTTTATGACACACGTTAGATGTAAAGATAATATATAAATTGATGCAATATATAATGAATACATGAACGTGCATGTAATAAGCTATATTAACTTTTATTGGTTTAACTGAATAAAGAAATTATTGAGAAGAAGACAAATTATATAAATTTCAACTCGCTCGGTACATAGTATAACTATAGCACCATAAAGTACGACATAAACTATATATTTACTTAATAGTATTTAGAACCAACATATTAAAGGCTCAGCTTTGCTATGTAACTGAATTTTTACTTTAAGTTTTAAAAGTTTTATTTTACTTAAGCAAAGCTCGGAAATTTCAAATATTTGGTCTACCATTATATTTTAATTTACATATAGTTATCTTCGCTGACTGAAATAAATATAGTTAAAAACATAAACAATTGCAACTCTAGGCACTACCTTTACATGAAGTCCAAAATTATTCCTCTCTATGAATGTGTGTCTATGTTCGTTTCATTGTTGGGAAACAGTAATTTGGGGTTCTAGATTTAAAGTAAATGATCTGGAAGGTTGTTATGAAGACAGGGTAAATGATCCTCACAATTCAAGTTTTTTAAAAAATATTTTATAGGTGATAACCTTCATCGAATATATATTTTTTTATTGCTATTCCAAGTTTCAAGACACTTGTAACATATTTTGTTATTTATAATCTTTTTTAACTCATTGCTCATTGGGAAAACAATTGTGTACACTACCTATATTTGTTTTCACATTACATCAAATATAAATTTTATATAATTTAAACAACAATACACAATGGTGTTTTTTTCTCATATAACCTATTATTAGATTATTTATTGCCTTTACATACACGTTATCTTTGCTTTCCATCAATCTACACCGAAATATAACAAAAACAAATTTCCGTGAATTTCCTATTGTTTTTCTACCTGTTTCACCAAAAAACGTATTTAAACAGGTGCCCATTCCATATCTTAAAAAATCTGCATCAGCTCTTTCAATGATATACATTTTTTCAAAGACCCAAATGTCTGAACCATAAAATACGTAAGTGCTATCAGTTGTCTGGTTTATATAAGTATCGTTGTGATTTCAATTGTCTGAGCCATACATTAGAAGAGGTACTATTCTGATATGAATTATCTTCGGTATAAAATAAGGTGCTATTTTGCTTTCAGTTTTCTGATCCAATTGTGTCTGATTATTTTATTATAGTACTATGATTAGAGTCTCTTTTGCCAATTACCTGGTGGGATAAAACTCAAATACTTTTTAAAATAATAAAACACAACTTTATTTTACTGTGGGTACCATTTGCTTTATTACCTTGGAAACTCTTCCAGTTTACTCAGAATGATTTTAAGATATTGGCATGTATGCGTCTCTTCCAACTTTAAACTTTTATGTGTGAAATTGTCTTCGTCTTCTTCCGTAATATTTACCAAATATTAGTATTTAAATTTTGTTAACGATAAATGTGACAAGGGGGATTTAAAACATTAAAACCCACCTCCTTTCAATTCATCGTCGTATCTAGGGTATGATCTCCCTCGATGTAATTACCCAGTGTGGACAGATAAATGGAACTTTACTTATAGCTAAGCAAAGTATTGAAAAAATAAAACAATGAGCCCCTTGAATGAATAAAATATAAAATTTTAATCAAACAACAAATAATCAAAGCAACTATCAATTTTCATATAACAGATTTACTAAATTATGTATTCAATTAAATCATAGCCAAATTCATTTCTATTCAATTAATGGTCAATGACAGAATTCATACAGCATACAAATTTCATCATGTACTCGAGCGGAATTTTGGGTCCAATGTTATGCCTTTTGACAGCATCACCTGACACTTGTCTTCACACGACTTGTCTTCCTGGTCTACTACGTGTTTGATCCTATTTAACGCTCACTGCCCTGACATCCCGAAGATGCAGCCTTTCTCTTTCTCAATTTGTTTCTTCCGTATTCCTCCTTCTCTCTTCTCTTGTTCGGTGTACGAACTATGAAGGTTGAACTCGAACTATGAAGCTGTCT